CTAAGAAGATACCCTTCACTGAGAACCATAATATTCTGTAACCTTAAAGAATATTGATTGTCTTTTGTATTAATTTTTTAAGCTTTTATTTTTTATTAAACACATTTTAATTAAAGAAAATAATGGTAAACTTCTTCGAGTTGTTACACTTGCAGGGTTCTATTTATTTTTGCTAATAGTTATTTTAATTTGTGAAACTTTTCTAATTTATCTTATTCCCATTGCGTTTTTTCACCAGAATGCAAATCAGTTACAGTGAACAAGAGTATTTAAATTGTTGGAACGCAAAGTTTAAGCAGAGCGTTTTCCCTATTGTGAGCGCACATTGCTGTTTTCTTTTAGATTTTAACCTTAATATCGGCTACGCATTCTTGGCGCCGAGTTATTATTCTGTCGGTGTAGGTTCTGAGTCAACCTGCTAGCTTAAATTGAATTATGTACTATACTTTAAATTTAGTGTTACGTTATCTTTTAAGTTCTCACCGCAAGTGATCGGTATCTGTAAACACGTGTCCGTGCCGTCTGTATATATTGTGTTCAATAAAAGGGCCTTTTACACTCTTCTGGTTGTATTCACCTGTAAGCCTGTGCGAGAATTCGCAAGGATCAACACATCGGTAGAAATAATTACATTTTATAATAACTTAAAAGACTAGATCTTACACCCCTAGGCAGAGTCGTATTTCAGCGCCCACAGACAACTGAAGATTTCGCGCCCCCTGTTGCTTGCCAAGGATGGAAAACATTTAATTCTAAAATGTCGTAACATCAGTTTGGCGCCTCTTGGATTTTGCGCCCGGGCACAGATGCCCCCTTGCCCCCCTCTAGATATGCCCCTGCTCCTAGGGTTCTTACTTACACATTTAGGATTCCTAGAAAGTCAGGAAACAGATCATAGTCAATAAAATTCTGTGAAAATATAAATCTTTTTCAAAAAGCTGGAAGGGAAACATTCATCTAGAACATTTTCCCAAAACATAAAAAATTTTTAAAATGTACAAGTATATACATTTACTATTTCTTTATACTTCAGCCCTTCAGTTTAACTCTGAAACACCCAACGAGTAAATAATATGTGGCGTAAATATGTATTGCTGTTATACATTTATTTTGAAAAATAAATTTTTTTATCGAATTCATTACAGTGGAACGTCGGGTCATGAACGCGTCGCATCGTCAATAATTCGGTTGAGGAATAAATTTTCTGAGGGGAAGACAGAAGTTTCGTATAACGAACTTGCAAGCAGGTAACGAATGATTCTCAAAAGTGTTTTGAGGTAACCTCTGATACAGAGTTAACAGCGCGACCTTTCTTGACATATCATTTTAATAGTCCCCCTTGCTTAATTCTCTCTGAAAACATATGGCAAAAAGTGACTTACAGGACCATGAATTTGGCTTGGAAGAAACTGCTGTAATCAGAATGTCTATAATCGAAACCATGGGCTTCAAAGTTAAAAAGAAAAACGTGAAGCAGTTAGAGCACTACGAAAGTTAGTTTAACACAAAAGAACTACAAACTTTAAAAACTGAAAAAAAATATTTTGAAAAAAATTGCCTTCAGAGGCATATGGAAAATGATTCTAGTTTTTTTTTTTTTTTTTTTTTTAAATTTTATTTCTCGGAATCTGCGTAAATTTTTACTAAAGATGTAACTCTGAAAATATGCTAGTAAATCTCAGCATATGCATTTTAGTGGCAATGCCATACGTCGTTTTACAAACATCTAAATGTGTAGACAAAAAAATATCACACTAGGCAAATTTTTAACGAGACAAAGGCTTGCTGAATTTCGATTGTTTTTATGCCATGAACAGTTATGTTTGCGTCATGAAACATATGCGTCAAACGTACTGTTATAAAAGTTTCGACAAGCAAGTGCTTATGGTTGGAGAAGCGGATTAATCCATTTTACCTTATAAGTTATTTTCTCTCTCCTTTCCGCGTGCCTTCGTGGTGTAACTGGAAGCATGCTCGACGCGTATTCGAGAGATCTAGGGTTCGAGTCTCGGCGAGAGCATTGCACGTTTTTCAAGTATCCTGCTGAAGGAATACCTAATAACTCTACAACCTTAACTCCTTTGAAGAACATAATTTCGATTTGCGAACGTTTCAGGTGGACAAACGGCCTTCAGAAACGACTAACATTCGGAAATCGAAGTTTCTCAGGATTCTTTTATGAAATTCTGCCTACTTATCTGAATAGTTTAAATGAAGGTTTTCAATATTTTGTTTTTTTATGTACTTTAAAGTAGTGAGTAGTTGAATTAAATTTCTCTAACATGTCTAGTTATTTCGTTGTATTTTGTAGTATATGCATAAAATATTCAGTTACTCTTAGAGGGTTTAATAAACAATTCATTCATTGATTATCGGTTCATCATTTCCAGTCGAGGAAATTATTTTGTTTAGTGACAGACATTCAGGGAAAAGAAAAATTAAATTTCAATGAGAACCTTGTATACTGTAATTTGAAATTCTGATAATATAAGTTTTTTTAAGATCATGTTTTTGTGTAAAATGTGCTTACCTAAAAATGCTTAAGGAGAAAAAAGCATATCTTTAAGAGAGAAGGGACAACACCCATTACAAGGTTGAGTGTGTTTAATGACCTTCTTGTCCATACCAAATGCTCTAGTGGCTCCCTGGTGTACTATTCTGGGCGAGGTCCTTCACAATGGCACGTTTAACGCTGCGTCTACACGAAGAAAATGAGACACCGAAATTGGCACTTGAGACATCAGGCTCCGAGAGAAATAGAAACAGGCTCTCGGCTGAGAGCCGGAGCACTTTGTGGTTATCTGGCCAGAGGTTTCTAGCAATCGATTGGGCGGGTTATTACTTTGATGGTAATAAAGGCAGATCGATGAAAAGGAATGAAAGTTTTAGGATGGTGGAGTATGCTTCACATTCTTCCGATAAAGTTAATCGGCGAATTATGAACAGCGATGTCAACAAGTGTTTAATGTTCGCCTTGCATCAAAGACTTTCGGACAATTTTATCGCTACATATAGAGCCAAATCCCGATTTTGAGAGCGCGGATTAACCGTATCTTGCTGTAATAGAAGTACGTTTGTTTACTAGAGAACAATTTAAAAATCGCTATCAGAAACCACCTGCAAAAAGTTATTCAGGAAAATACACAAAAGAAAACAAAAATACGTAGGATACTATCAGTTATACTAGACCATGTCTTAATACTTGGGAATTATTTTTATTTACAACGCCACCTAATTTAACTGTAAGTAATCTAAAATGTATTCTTAAAAGTGTATTTAAATTATCCATCGAAAGTAAACTTCTCAATATTGATGACGTATAAGTATTAATCTTTTCTTTTACACTGATTCCTATCAAAGGCACTTCCTCTCTGCATTCTAAAAATCATAATTTTTCTGGACTGCGTCATTTCTAAACCAATCTATGTCACATGGCTTGCGTAAGGCTAATGACGTAGCTAAACGCAGAAGTTCGTGAACTGTAACCTATCTAACCTAGACCCAATTCTTCCTCTTCGTGAGCTTCCATACTGTATAACTGCGCACTTGAGCTTTTACCTCTGTGCCGTATGGACGCTCTTTCATTCTGCTATCTTCCTATCGCAGTAGCAAAGAAAATGTAAATATTCTGGAAATAGGTATGACTGCAGTGCTAAGAAAAGTGTGGCCACAAATGTCAGTTTAAATAAAAACGGAATTTAAATTTACTCGGCTGCTAAATTTCCTAGTCATTACGGATCCAACATTATAGCATTCTACGCGATCAGAATTCTTCCTCTTCGATATGGATCTACGTGCTACGGCATCAATATTTCGACGGTTTTTTATGTTCATACGTCAGTGCTTCTAAATTTGTTTTCACCACATATATATAGCCTAAAAGGTGCTATTAATCTCGAAATGGGAGATTTTACATTGCTTCGCTGTAAACGGCAAATTACTTTTCAAATTGTTGTCATCAAATATTATTGACATTTTTAAAGAAATTAGATAACGAGGAATTTGCATAACATTTCTCGCTTTAAAAACAGCAGCAGCACCTAGAGCCATCCAGTTTTGAATAAGGTAGCGCTCCACACGAGCATGCGCACGTGAGAGCAAGAGATGGGGTCCTCCGAAAGCATCGCCGAAGAAGACTTCGCAGAGAAAACAAACAAGGCAAAAACCTCTTCGTGCAAAACATCGGGGGAGAACAGACAGCCAGAACCAAACATAGCAGTTCTAAAACGCCATGGTACTTAACATCGTCATCAAAAATAAAGCTATTCATAAACATCGCAGTTTTAAAACATGGTCGTCGAAAATATTGTGATAAAAATCACTCACAAATCATCTCATGGCGATAGCACTGCAGACATGCGTTTTTGAGATTTTAAAAATTATAAATGCATATTCGCTTATAATGATTTAAGAGGCCAAGAAGGGATGAGGAGTATTTTTACATTTCTATTTCATATTTTTGAATGAAGTCTACCCAACTCTTTAACTGCAGACTATACATGAAAAAGTTAATGACACTTTAAGTACACTAATGAAGTGTAACCAAATAAAGTTAATTTTTGCTAAAAGAATATCAGATTAACAAAGGTGAAAGAAAATAGTTATCGTCCAGTGACGATTTTGTGGGTGCTCCATTTTTTACCACGATAGTTTCGACGATGATGTTTTAAAACTGCGATGTTTTTGAACAGCTTTATTTTGTACTATTGACAGCTATTTTTTGTACTATGTTTTAGAACTATGATGTTCTAGAGTATAGCGAAAGTTCTTAGAATTGGCGATTTGCCTGGCCTCGTGCATGAGGCATGCTATCATAGTGTAACTAGGGAAAAAAGTGGAAATACTAGAATGTTTCTACCATTAGCAGTCCTGTTCTAAAAATATATACTTAAGTGAGGTTATCTAAACATAGTGAACTCTCTTATGGTGATCATCTCTGAAAATGACCAACATTTCTGAGAACATAAATAAACATCGGTATTAAGCATTACCTCTGTACAATGACAACGTTCTCTGAAGCAGAACCATCTGGAAATGTGGGTGGTCGTCTTAGAGAGGGTTTGTTGTATTTTGATAGAAAGCTTACATATTTTACTGCACATATATTGTTGTCAGGTTTTTTTTGAATACTTGTAGTATCTGAATCAAAGAAAAATTTTAAATGCATATTTTATATTTTGAAGCATTCAATCCTATTGCGATGGCATCCTCTGTAAGACAGTCACATTTAAAAATGACCAATACTTCTGAGAACATAAATAAGCAACCTAATAAACATTATCTTTCCAAGAAAACCACAGCCACCCAGAACCTTGGCTATCTTAGCGAGAATTCACTTTATTTTCTGTGCAGTATTTAAATAACGAATCAAAATGTAACATTTTGTGTTGGAAAAGTAGGGTGATTTCTTAGGGTCTATAACTAATTCATCTCCATGAACTCCTTTGTTATTTCTATAAAAGCGAACGTTTTTTGGACTGGAATCTCCGTTATAGGTTTCAAAATACGACAACCACGAAACGGAAAGAAAAGAAAAAAAAAGTGTTTTTCCATTTCCCACGAATGAGTTTTTTTCCTTTCCTTATCCAGGAAAAGAAACCTTCTCATCCCTTCTCTGCTGCTTTCCATTCTTCGTTCTCTTCCATGGTGCATTTCGAAGCGGCAAAGCCCTCTCCATCCCAGGGGGGCGCAGGGGCAATTTCAGATCTTAATGTCCCTCGGAATTGTTGGCGATCTCTTCCTAGAGACCCATAGTGGGCCGGCGGAAGGAAAAAAGGAGACCAGGAGATCACGGTGGTCCCCTATGGAGGGATTATATGCAAATGGTTTCAATTTCAATGAAAAGACAACTGTTCTGATGGTCAGACTATTACATATTGTACAAGTCTCACTTTCTTCACCCAACTTCTGATATAACTACTATGGTCACAAGAATGATAATACTCTAAGGCGGTTCAGATTATTTTGATTTCCTAAAGAAGTGGTATCTTACATAGGAAATATTCATTAGCGATGCTTATTTATAGTCTCAGAAATACTGGTCATTTTCAGAGGTAATCGTCTTAGAGAGTGGGCTGACAAGAGGCAATTTATTAAAACGTAACTTTTCTTCTACTGCATCTGAAAGCTTGGCCTTTCCAAACTTAAGCACTTTTGCATTACGCTACGCTACCATGAAGTTTATCTTCCATGCAGATTGTCAAATACTTGCTCTTGTACAAGAGGAAACCATTTAAAATTTTGTTTTGCACAGCCTGTTGAACTAGTCACTTTCCGCTTGATAAGATCTTTAACTTAGCTTTTAAATTACTTTATTATCTAACAACCTGAGAGATTCAAAAGCAATAAAAGCACATCTTAGAGAAGTCGAGTACTATAATGCTGAATACGGTTCCCATTCCTTGGTCTAGAGCACGGTTTCTTAAACTTTTTTGCGTGGGGACCCCATAATATTTATGGATTTTTGTAGGACCCCATAAGCATTGCGCAAATCCGACACACACTTGATTGAAACTATAAGTGCAGCAGATATGTGTATGATTTAATAGGCCGTTCATGAAAGTCATGTGAAGTCGACATTGATTTTTTAGTAACATACCTAACTGGTGTAATTTAAAGTATAAGCGACTAGCATTCTAAAACGACCACCTCTAATAATAGCGAATATTTTGAGAGCGTAAATAAACGCCCATATTGAACAAACATCACCTGAACATCTCGATAGGAAATCAAATACTTAAAAGTCTTTTATTTTAGATTTAAAAATTTTTAGAGCGCTTTAAGATAATAAAAAATTCTCACATGTACACCACAGACTTCCTTGTACGGAATATTAAATTATACGCATTTTTTCCTGCCTTTCATTTAAACTTATTTCGTCAAATTTCATTAGAGATATATATCGCATTCAATTAATTCAGTTCTCACTTCGCGACAAGGCAAAAATACATAAAAACACAAAATATCTATATTAAAAATTGAAAGGTGTAGGAAAACATAAAACACCAAATACAGTTAAAACAACTTAAATTTTTTTTTCACAATTAAAATTACAATTTCTACGCATAAACAAGCAATTCGGCCAGCGGGCAAGAAGGCAGATTTTTAGGTGCACAAAAATGAAAGATTACTTTTGTCTCACTCAGCAAAAAGACACCAAAGACGTAGAAATCGACTTAATTTGTAGTGGGCACTATGCTGAGTCAATATATGGGATAATTTAATAACTTAAATGATAATTCCGGAATGGATTAAGCATAATTTAATTCGCAATAATAAAAGAAGACTTACTTCGTTGTTGTGAAACTTAGTTTCTCTAGATTGGCAACAGATCCACTATCCTGCTAAGTTTCAAATGCAAACAAATGTGGCTGCTATGGTAAAAAAATAGGCCTAGCCTCACTTAAACAACTTTTAAATTGTTGATAATTCTACAACTATAACATGCAGGTTAACTAAAGGCATAAAAACGTTAACCGGAAGATCAGAACAACATAATTCAATCATTTTTAAAGCAAAAAATGCACAATTTACAAACATATAAGAATAAAGAAACTGAGCTCACTGAGCCGAGTAACAGAGTGGATGTATATATACATATATTTATATACTTTTCGTGCGGCCACTTGCAACCAAAATAGGAGGTTCACATCTAGATGTTATGGTAGTCCTATACACAAAATTTCAACGTTCTGAGGCTACTTGTTTTTGAGTTATGGGAGATACATAAATACGTATATACAGACGCCACGAAAAACTTTCTTCTGACTCCATTTTAAATCAGTTTTATAATTCGTTTGGGAAAAAGAGTCCTCTTTATTCTGTCCTTACGTACAGATGTCACGCAAAAACATCGTGAAATTGCATTCGACAGCGGTCAAAATGGATGTTTTCGTTGAAATATGATACTCGAAATTTTTCGCGATTTCAATACTTCCTGCAAGGAAGTAAAAAATGACCATATAGGAAAGTTATTTCGTTTATTCAATCTAGCTATGAAATACGCGAGACACAATTTTTTAAGGTCTTTCTATCTATCCGATCGCGTCTATTACATTGTATTGTATTAAATTATATTTTATTTTATTATGTCTATTAAATTCATTAAACTTCTTATTTGAACAGAAATTCGATCTTAATTTGTTCTAAAGCTTCCAAAAAATCTTCATTTCATCTGTTAATTTAGAATTAGGAACGAAATTCTGGACTGATTCATTTGTCCGTTAAACACAAATCTGAGAGAAATATTTAGCAACAAATAAAACAAAATTCTGAAGAAATTCAAATTTTGAAGAAATTCCTATTGAGTGTAATATTGTCATCGCAAGTACATGTGTGTGGAAGAATTAAGGAATTTGAATCGTTAGAATGCGGTCAGATATTAATTTCAGAGTTTGAGTTGAACACTCAAAGGCTAGTTAAACCGTGTAAAAATTTCAATATAGTTCTACAAAACTAGCAGTTTTTTTAACCATGTTGACGCGAAACTTCAATTAAACACATCATCAAAACATAAACACACAGAAACATCCGAACGTTCATTTTCCTTAATTTTCTAAGTACTACCATGATAAAGCGCAACATATTTCCATGCGCTACTTTAACGCAGATGCTACTCTTAACGTGCAAGCGCGCAGCGCTGCACTAATACATAAATTTTAAGCGCTCCCACCTGTACTCTGTACTTAATACAATTTCTCTACTCACCTGTACTTAGTACCTGTACTGTTTCAATACTCATCTGTACTTAATACAATTTAAAGAAGTAATTGAAAAAATATTCTAAATGTTCTTCTTTCAGTTTTCTAAATAACTATATATGTAAGCACGTCACAATCCCATCATACACATATCGACTAATTAAAAAGCGAACATTTGCTATATCTGTATACACACTCCAGTGTCCCTTTGAGACTTTCTTAATTACCCGAAACCGTATCACAGAAAGCCAGAAGCTTTCTTGTCCTAATTGCTCTTCCGATTTCATTAGAAAGCGCATCTTTGCGAGACTACGTCGTAATTAGAACTCGCATAAAAATAAAAATATTTAATACATTTTATTCACTTTTGCAGAAGAGAAATGAGAGTGTGAGTTGTTGTTTTCATACTTCACTTTGAAGACAATTATTAATTCATTTGGTGTCTTAGGTAGATAAAATAATATATATTTTTAACGCTAGTTTTAGTTTATAATGTAAAGGAAAAAGACCACCCACGATTCTAAATTAATTTGATCTTCTCTCGTGGTCGACATCTGAGAAAGGTGATCTCTAGAATAGGGTTCATTGTAGTAATTACATCATTTAAGCACAGAGTATAAAATGTACATTTTAAAATTTATTCTGTAATTCAGTCAATATAAGTGTTTTAAAGAAATATGGAAACAATTTTTTGCCTAGTAAAATATATTGTTGTAACTTATCTCACTTGTCTGACAGTAATATAAGAACAAGTTCAGCAATTTTTACATGGATAGGATCGCAAGCCTGCATTCTGTCGTTGGCGTAGCCCTTGTGTAGCTTATAGGCAACCGAAGGACTTAGCCCACCTGTGTCTCAATTTCGAAGGAGAATTCCTTGGAACGGCTTCCAGGGATTCGCTCCCCTGCTACCATACCACACGACAAGATTGACAGCTCGTCTTGCGTTTTATGTGCCTAATATCGTAAAGACGTAGTACACTCAAGACCAAACATCCAAGCCTTCTCCGGGACTAGAGTCTGGGCCCATCGATACAGCAACCAACATCGCTGACCAGTATACCGACCAAGATGGCATAAATATATTGCATCAATGTGCGGCGAGCCCTTTTGAAATATCAGCTACGTTTCCAAATGGTTTTAATCTTTTAAAGACGTTGTCGTTAGAGATAAGTATGTTCAAAACCGAAACTTGTTTAGGTTCTCCAAAATAATAATCATTTTCAAAGGTGGTAGCCTCTAGAATATTCGCTATATTTAATAGTTAGACTAAGTTAATATTAGAATGGTGGTTAACTTGCGTCTCACTCAACGCTACATACTAAATCTTCTCGCGAGATGGAACTTATTTTTATTTCCATGCATAAAGAATGTCCGAAAGCAAATGTAATTCAATTATGCGGAAGACGTTGAGGAAAGTGTGTTGCATGTCTTGAATAATATTCCACATAAAGTGTTTGCATCCTTCAAGACAGACAGCAAAACGTTATGACAAGTATGTCGATGCTGATGGAGAATACACTGAAAGAAATGTAAATATAAATAAGTGTAAAGTATAATATCATAACAGAAAAACTGATTTTGGTTATTGTTTGGTACCCCTCGTATGTAAAATAGAAATACCCATATTTCCAAGGGATTAACGCAACCCTGCAGTTATTTAACGTTCAGCAATAATTTATGCACTTCTTTAATTTCTGTCCGTGGAATGTATTTTTGTAGTCGAAGCTGAGCGTAACACGAGTAAATGCATGCAAAGGCAGGAAAATAAGGAAAAGGCCGGAGATAGATGATACTGAACTTTTTCGTGACAGAAGTGTGTCCCCGAGAGCAGTAAGATAACGTTCCCGATCCGCTTTTTTATGGGAAAAAAAGTAGCAGTGAAAAATAGCAAAAAACGGGAACAGGGAAATCCTCACTTATCTCCGGTTCAACCCGGCATTTTCAATTTTTCCTCGTGCGCTTACTTTTTTATATTCCCGAAATCCGTACAAAAACAAATTTCTGGAAAATAAAATCCCTTGTCTATGCAACGTCCTGCAGCATGTGGATGGGGATCTTTACATTTTCTTTGCCCTTCCTTTCAAATAGGAAGGCTAGGATTTATATGTCTGTTGGGTGGTTGACGACACAAAATCTAAAGTACGAGAAGAAACAAACAAAACTGTTTTATTTTTATTTATTTATTTATGTATGTATTTATTGACATATAAAGAAGTTCGATATAAGTATGTTTTCAGGAATGGTGCGGTAACTAGTCTCTTCCATTTTTACAATTAAGGTTTTTGATATGTGTGTTGCTTACCCTACAGGGTGTTTCGACCATCCACTATCGTTGTTGGCGAATATTTCCGTATATTTTTTAAGAACGAAATTTGGTTTTTAGTATATACTGTGCATGCATTGGTTTATTAAAAATCTGAAATCATTTCCCGTTTCAGCTCGGCCGGTATTATGATGCATTAGTCCTCTTTATGAAAATTTTCGTTACAAAAAAAAAAAAAAAAGTTTTAGGAAAATCTAGTGATAGGCTTAACTCTAAAAAAATCTATTTAGATGCAAATCTGATGCTTGGGTTTGGAAGTTATTAATACCTTCTTCGACCTTCCTTACTGATGGATCGTAATTATTTCAACGCAGGCTCTTTTTTTTCGCCTGCTCAAAAGTATTTCAGAAAAATTAAAAAAAAAAATTCTTTTTCTTCAACGTCTTCTTACTTTAATGAAAATCAGCATTTTTTTCACCCTAAAATTTTCTTAAAAGTGAGTTATAGCATTGTATTGTCAAAAGGTAAAAGTAAATTTTCTTAAATTTGAAAACAGTTGGGTTATAGGGATGCTAAATATAAAATTGAAAGTATTTTAGTTTTAAAAAAAATAAGTAATTCAACTTTTCTTGAAAGGTTAGTTTTACTTAAATCAGTTTTATATTAATTAACCATTTGTTTCTAAAATGCACCTTTGCTGTTAGAGTTCGACAAAGCGTCATGTCATGTGTTTAAAATTTGAAATAATTTAATTTGTTTATAAGAAGGCATTCGTGGTCTCTCTGTAGAACAAACATATGCAGTGGTGTCGTCCAGACAGGGTTAATTCGTGTTGCTGTATAAATGGAATTAGATCATCTTTCGACCATTAGGCGCTATAATTAATTTTGAGTTATCTGTGATCAAGACGTTTCTGCAGTCTTAACGGTTTTACATTTAGAATCAGGCAACAACCAATTTATGACAGACACCGAAAGAAATATTCTCTGAAAGCTTTAAGGCATGTCACAAGTATTGGTGAGAAGTGAACTTGTTCAAAAGGATGCTATTTAGAAGGTAACCAGTTTAGAAGGTGATATGTTTTGGATATGGATGTTATTTAGAAAGTTATAATGTTTTTAAGTTTCATATCCAACTGCTGTATAAGAGTTTTCCGCGGATATTTTAAATATAAGTGTAAATAAGCGCTACTTTATACACGTAGTACTTTATACAAAAATCTAAAAATCAAAAGATTTTTAATTTATATTTCATACATTTACGTCCCGTCAATCGCAGCAATTGCAAAGGGTTTTGAATCTCTATGTTTCATACAAAAATCTAAATCTCTTATGAAACTGACTTAACTTGAACGTCCTGAAAAGATGACGTATTGCAAAATGTGTGTATGTTTTGCTTTATATTGAGATAATTTTCAGAGCAAAACGTTTTATGAAGGGGATCATTTGATTGTTATAGTGTTTGTTATAATGTTTGTTATTGTTTATCATAGCCCCCTTGTTTGGTTTTTTGCAGCTCATTAAAGGAAACATCAATACGTACTCTGTCGTTAACAGGAAGCTTAAGCCGGTTATTATTGCCTCTAAGATTCGATTCATTCCCTTCAGTGTTCACTTGCGAACTGTCTGCATGAGAGTGGAAGTCTATGGCTGTCTTTGGAAAGGTGAGATGAATGCTTTTTTCTTTCACCTCCAAACTCAAATTACGCTAAAATAATAACCCTGCATAATAAAAATATCTCGAAATTAAGTGCTAGGGAATCTACCAAAACATACATTATATAATGTAAATTTAAGGATCGAAGCTTAGTTTAAGAAACTTTACATGCAACTTCATACAACTTGTGCATATTTAGGATCAATATTTAAGACACTTAAGCTTGTAGGTACTTTCTCACAGTTGGTATGTAAAAATATAAATGAAATAATGTAACAGGCTTAAGAAAGAATCACCTAATAATTATTTAAAAACATCTGAAAGTTTTCAGATTTTGAATTACGTCCAAAGGGGCGGTTTCTTATAACATTTTTTGTGTTACCGTTATTTATTAAATATCATGTTCTTCGCACTTAAACCATAAAATTCAGTTCAAGAGCAATATCGCAAAATAATTTTAAAATGAGCATATCTTTAGAATTTCCGATACACAGTCTCGCGAGGTTGGAGATAAAGATGTTTTTCTGTACAACGTTGCCATTGCTCGCCTTGAAATCCTTGGGTTTGCTAATCAAAAATTCGTTAAAGTTTTGCAAAATATGAAATCGATAATAAAACAAATTTTAAATTTGAGCTTTCAGATGCCCATATTGGTATTGGTAGAAGGATTACGTTATTCAAAATTGGACGGCTCTAGGTACCGTTGATTTATTACAATGCGAGAAACATTCATGCATTTATGCAGATTCTTCATTATTTAATTTCTTTAAATATAGCATAGGGCGATAATGTTTGGTGGCAAAAATTTGAAAAATGAAACAACGCTTGCAGTGAACCAACGCAAAATGCCAAAACGAAATTAATAATCCTTTTGGGAAAATCGCCCCTAAAAAGTATTGGTAATTTTTAAAATCTGTTTCAATAGCATACTCACAAAATTTTGTTAAGGGGACACATACACCTTAAAACCCATAAGATCTTCGAATATGTAATAGTTGTAAGAATTGGGATAACTTATTTATTTTAAAAGCAATTACTTCCAACTTTTTACAGCTCATTACATAATATAGCTGCATCTGAAATAGTAATCAGAAAGTTTGTGTTGCCACAATTATTTTTATAATTTATTCCACTTTGTGAGAAAGGTTTTCGTCATGTTTCCACCTTACGCGAACAGTTTAAAATATTCTGTTGCATAATTTATTTCCATATTTAATATATTGCTTTTATAACATTTGGAAACTACTGTGAACCAATAAATAAGAATCTAACCAATAAATAAGAACCAATAAATAAGAATTTCATGATAAATTTTTATTTAATTTGGATTTGCGTTTTTAAAATGTATTTTATTAAAAAATTCTGTAATGTTTTTGTGCATAAAATTTTTTAATATTAAAATATTCACCAGGTTTTTGGTTCAGTTAGAAAATAGTGCCCCTATAAAGAATTCCATCAAATTTCAAGTAGGTACCATTAATCATTTTTAAAATATCATGCGCGCAAGCTGGAAACATTACGAAAAATTTTGTCACAAAGCGGATTAAATTACAAAATTATTTGTGGCAACACAAACTTTCTAGTTACTTGTTCCCAAAGCAGCTATATTATAAAGTCAGCTGTAAAAAGTTGGAAATAATTGCTTCTAAAATAAATGAAATATCCCAATTCTTGCAACAGTTACATATTCGAAGATCATAAGGAGTTTAAGCTCCCTTAAGTGGCCTTGTAGCCACTTTTGCACAATACGCCATCAGACGTTTCTGTGGCATGTCAAAAAATATAAATAAAATAATGGAAAAGACTTAAAAAGTATCACCTAAAAATTACTGGGTTTCTTAAAATCTGTTTTAATAACCATATTCACAAAATTTTATTAAGTGGTCTTGTAGCCACTTCCGCGCAATACGCTATCGCACTTTGCTGCGGCATATCTAAGTAAAATAATGTAATTAAAAATATACCACTAAAGTTACTGGTATTTTTTAAAATTTGTTTTGATAGCATACTCACAAAATGTTATTAGGTGGTACTATTATAAATGAATGGGCTTCATTGTGCATTTGATGTATTGTATATTTCGGAAGAATTAATGACTTTTGTTAAAATGTATGAAATGTATTTTTTGATATATCAGTGCAAATGAAGACGTTTCACCAATAAAAATAGCTTCATTCAATGAGTGTCGCAAAATATAAAGACACCCGAAATTTAGTATTCAGTAACTCACTCAAAAATAAAACGCTACGAGGATGAATGAATACATATATATATATGCCCGAATTCAATTCCACAGTCACCCGGAATTAACAACGGCTGTTTTTTTAAAAACAAAAATAATTTCAATAAAATACATTCCGCCGCAAAAATAGGAAGCATATATATAATGATAGTCTCACAAAAGACTCTCATTCTAGATGCGTAGTGGTCCATTAATCAAGGTAAAATAAATAAATAAACGAAGTAGAAAATAGAAGAAGAATGCAATGAAGAAATACTACAACGTAACGTTGTGCGGCCGAATCATTTTAATGGCACTTCTTTTGAACAGGGAAGGCGGTGCTTTGCTTTTAAGAGTCTGCCCCTCGTCGTAAATTAACTCCGAGGTTATACTAGCTTGCCCGGTTCTAAATTTAAACGTGAGAATCCAGCAGAAGGAACTTTAGAGGAAGAATAAAAAAGGAGTATAAATACGAGCAATACCCGACGTCTTTTGCATAACGCTTCAAGCAAAGAAAACGAGATTTCCAAGCAGATTTTTCTGTTTCTTTTTTTTTAATCTTTCAAGCAGTCTTTTGTGGAATGAGTTAGATTTTCGTAAGTCTTTTTGTGGAAAGGGGTGGTAGTGGTAGTATCGTGATATTTGTTTCCAGAGCAGCAGTGATAATGAGCAAGAACTTTAAGTAAAATTATCAAAAATAATTTACGATTGTAACTGGTGTAGAATAAATTACTAATTATAATACTATTGATAAATTACTTTAGTTATTAATTACTAGTTATGTTGGTATTATTAACTGTATAGGCACACAAGGTTAACTAATTAGTTAGAATTATTTTAGTAATCTTACTAATTACTAATTATTTAATAGTATAGTAATATTTATTTGCAGGGAAGGAATGATAATGAGAAAGAAATATGCTTTTAATGAAACTTTCAAAAGTAATTTACCAATCTGTGGTCAAAAGTACTGCATTATTTATCTCTCATTCTGTGCAATGTAAACTTTATGACGATGAATTTTCTTTCTTGTGTTTTGTAGTCTAGTTTTTTACTTTCACTTGTAATAATTTTTCAAATGATAATAGTTATTTATTTATCGTAAAAAATAATATGCATTAAATGCACCATGAATATGAAGTTTGATATTTGAATATATCTAAGCAATTCGTTATGAAAGCAAATATTTAAAGAAAAATTAATAAAAAAGTAATTGAAAATAATGATTTAGCTATGACTTTAAATTTGTGCATAAAAAAAAAAAACTGTTTGAAAAAGTATCCTCATAGCTGTTCTAATTGTGCATCAATTATTGTGTTAGTTGGAAAAAAAATCACAAATTTGTCTCATTGTTATTTCGACACTATTTAAAATTACGCAAATGTGCCATATATGTTGAAAGTGCAAAAGAGGTACATTTAGCTGTTATTGGAAATAACACGGTAACTGAACACGCAATCGTAACGTTCTTCTTTCAGTTGCACAGCTCGTTCGGTCTATAAGATTAAACTCAGTTTTGCTTGATCTGAAAACTCTTCTAATTTCCCGGAATGGCAAAATTTCATACTATAATTAACAGTATTAGAAAGCTAATTGAGTACAACAGAAAAGAAAGTAATTAAACATTTATTGTGGCTTTATTTCGAAGTACAGAACTAAATTAACTAATAGAAATTTACTTCCGCGGCTGAGCATTAAAGTCGCTGAATTCAGGCAGTTTGGTCCAAGGTTCGAATCCCGGGGAACGGGCTGGCTGCATATGCGTTTTCATGGTTTTCACCATGTGTAACGTATATTTTCCCTTAGAAAATACCCGTTACACATGGGGATTCCCTTAGAAAGTCCTCCACGAAGTCACCCCTCTCTTAAGCCGGATAGCCCTTGAATGCTTTGCCAGAAACAAATAAACGGAATAAAACACGTTTACTTCCACTTCTGGCAAGAATAAACAACAATGAATTCAATTATATACAGTTCAAAGATTTCGATTGGTATCTTAGTAGCTTCTTTAATTGCATGACTACTGTTCAAAGCAAAGCGGAAACTCATCCACTGCAAATAGGATCGGCTCACAAACGGGCATCAATAGGGGAATTTCAATACGGTAGTTCAGCGTTTCCGGTGCATCTTCACTTAATGTTAGATTCTTATTCTTACTTAAATTTTCTCTCAGTTTTGTATTCTGGTGAAGTGGACGAAACAGTAGGAGAGTAGAACAGCTTTCTAGATAAGAAATAACATGTTAATTTAAATAAACTTTGCGGTTTTTATATTACAGGAAATAAGAATTTATTTTGAAAAAATATTTTTATTCAATCTAAAAGTGTTTAATGTAAGTTACAGCCTAAAATCTCACTAGTGGTTGAGTGACTAAGATCGCTGAGCTCTGCTTATATGGCCGTGCAATACTTATTTTCTGGAAACAGGTTGGCTGCATGAGGATTTCGTGATTTTCCTCATGTGTAACGTGAATATGAGATAATTTCATTACTTAAACATCTAACCCCGGCCTCGGCAACGTATAACCTATTTCGACCAAGTTACCCACCTGAATTTCGAAAATAAAGTATGATATATCATACTTTATTTTCGAATTCATATATGATACAGTAAATTATAAAACATAAATATGAAATCAGCACTTGAAGAATAAAAAAAACGAAAATAAATAACAACAATAATACTTTTGTTTTATTCCTGAATTGCAGTAATAAACATGTATTTTTATTTTTTTTAAATATAAAACTTTTAACACAGTTATAAGGAGAAAGGGCAAATCTGATCCA